CATTGACGAGTGCTGGTGTTGGCGCAATGATCAGTAAGTCGTCGACGTACACTGCAATGTAACAGGTGATGTCACCAATTGTGCGTCGAAAGACACAGCGATCTTTAATAAGTTTCAGGGACCCAAGACTCTATGGGAAGGCAGTCAGGGTTTGGTACCCGGCACGGGGCGCTTGCTTCAGCCCGTATAAGCTCTTAAGAAGTTTGCACACTAGGTGCTACTTGCCCGGGATCTTGAAACCTTCCGGTTAAGCAATGTAGATCTCCTCTTCCAGATAGCCCATCCATTTGGTGAACTTCAAAGTCAAGAAGAGATGCAATTTTAAGAAGTAGTCTAAGTCCCTCCATCCTGATGATAGGAGAGAATATCTCGGGGTAGTCGATGACACATTGCTGATGAAATCCTTTGATCACAAGACGCGCTTTAAAGCGGTCAATTTCGCCTGTGCCGGTATACTTCACAACAAAGATCCATCGGCTATTTAAAATCTCCCTTCCTTTAGGAGTGGATACCAACACCCAAGTGTGATTGTCCATGAGAGACTTGTATTCCGATTTAGCTGCTTTATACCACTGGTTAGCGTGGGAAGACTTCATTGCTTTCCGATACGTAGTAGGCTCAGACACATACCGAATAGCTAGTAATGTTTACAGTAAATGCACGTTGCTCCTGTTCGTGTATGTCTTCCTCAGAGCTGAGGGCTACGTCATTGGCTTCCTCAGAGCTATCAACGGCTTCCGCTGAGAGGCGAGGTCGCTTAGTAGTCGAATGATGAGGAGGATCAGAGTCCGTCTCCGTTCGAAAAGAATAATGTATGGATGTTCGATCAATAGCCTCCCTCAGTGAGGGCATTACACGTTGGTTCACTGTGCCTGGCGCTGTTGTCATTGCAGGGTCTGAGGTGGGTGATGATGTTGTTACTGGGTCTGATACATGTTCAGGCTCCGGTGCTACTGTAGTAGCAGTTGCAGGTGGCAGAGGTACAGGTGCAGGTGTAGCGGTAGATTGGTGCCAATTCGTGTGCTGTGTGGGCTCTAGAGTAGCCGTCAGGCCAGTGAGAGAGGGGAATTCGTCGTATTTAAAGATTACATCACGACTGTAGATAATTGCATGAGTATCGATGTCCATCAGACGGTAGCCTTTCTTATGGTGAGGCACGCCAAGATACATACACAAACGGGCTCTAGCGTCGAGTTTGTCTCGGTATTGCTCCATGGTGTGGACATATCCACGACATCCTAATAATTTGATGTACTGCATGGATGGAATACGGTTGTGCCAAAGCTCGTACGGGGTTCGTCCATCCGTCTTGGAGCTGGGAGTCATATTGATGAGAGTGGTCACATGACAGACACACTCGGCCCATACCGGCTTGGGTAGCTTGCCGTCAAGTAGAAGGACTCGGACACGCTCCTATGATGGTGCGCATGCGGCGATCTACAGCTCCATTTTTGCCGAGGTGTG